AATTATACAATTAATGGTCACACGTACATAATTATAGATTGGTCACTTATTATTAAATTAATTTGTCACAAATTATTTCGAGGTCACAAATCAAAAATTTTATACGTCGCAATTTATTTCATTGATCACAGATCAAAAAAGTTATATGTCAGTTTATTTATCGGTCACATATTTTCAAATTTGTTGGTCACAAATTATCGAATTTTAAGATTACAGTTTAATGGTTAGTCACAATAAACCAAATAGTTGGTCACATACACCAAACACCCACCCTCGGTCCCGATCCACCACCAATACTTGGTCAAAAATTAACCAAATAATTGGTCACAACCGTTATCCCACCACCGTCCCCACCAATAGCTTAACCTCCTTCCACCAGTTGTAATTATTCAAAATAGCAAAACACTTAGCTCCGTGATTTCGACCCAGAATCTGGCTAATAGTAGTCGAAATCCCAAGGCGAGAAGGTCAAGCTCGGGCCGCTCAAGGCTCTTGCTGGGGGGATTTTCTACGCGACCTATGGCACCACCTACATGAGAAACAACCCTATGCCCACATCGAAGGAACCAAGAACGGACTATTATACCAAGGAGGTTACCCAAATGGAGACTCTCAGTAGTAGGGTTGAACCCACAATACACCCTAAGGGGAGAGAGGCTGGGATCAGAACAGGCGGTCCTGAGAGAATCGCTGGTGAGGGACTCCAGAAGGCCTCTCTCTTCGAGAATGTTCACCATGTTGAGCCTATTCCTTACATCTGCGACGTCCCCTTTAGTCGATTCTTGGACAGATTGAGTCGAAGAATAGCGTAATGAAAGCTGCCATAGACAAGGGTAGCGGCGTTGGGTGGCGCGGGAACGAAGAAGAATGGGGAAGTAGTAAATAATTGGTCACAAACGTTATCCCACCACCGCGCAATGGTGGCCGGAGCATCTCCTTCGTTGTCGGTTGCCAGAGTTTGAATGGGTCACCAGTTGCCGGAGAGAGAGAAAGGAGAGAAATGAATAGGGAAAAGAAGAAGAAAAATGAAGATAGAGAATGGAGAGATGAAATAAAATTAGGGTTTG